CAATAATACTCCCATTAATGTGTCTTGGTGTATAACAGAGCTCCCCAGCAATAATACTCCCAGTAATGTGTCTGAATGTATAACAGAGCTTCGCAGCAATAATACTCCCAGTAATGTGTCTGAGTGTATAACAGAGCTCCCCAGCAATAATACTCCCAGTAATGTGTCTGAGTGTATAACAGAGCTCCACAGCAATAATACTCCCAGTAATGTGTCTGAGTGTATAACAGAGCTCCACAGTAATAATACTCCCAGTAATGTGTCTGAGTGTATAAGAGCTCCACAGCAATAATACTCCCAGTAATGTGTCTGAGTGTATAACAGAGCCCCACAGCAATAATACTCCCAGTAATGTGTCTGAGTGTGCAACAGAGCTCCACAGTAATAATACTCCCAGTAATGTGTCTGGTGTATAACAGAGCTCCACAGCAATAATACTCCCAGTAATGTGTCTGAGTGTATAACAGAGCTCCACAGCAATAATACTCCCAGTAATGTGTCTGAGTGTATAACAGAGCTCCACAGCAATAATACTCCCAGTAATGTGTCTGAGTGTATAACAGAGCTCCACAGCAATAATACTCCCAGTAATGTGTCTGAGTGTATAACAGAGCTCCACAGCAATAATACTCCCAGTAATGTGTCTGAGTGCAATAATACTCAGTAATGTGTGAGTGTATAACAGAGCTCCACAGCAATAATACTCCCAGTAATGTGTCTGAGTGTATAACAGAGCTCCACAGCAATAATACTCCCAGTAATGTGTCTGAGTGTATAACAGAGCTCCACAGCAATAATACTCCCAGTAATGGTCTGAGTGTATAACAGAGCTCCACAGCAATAATACTCCCAGTAATGTGTCTGAGTGTATAACAGAGCTCCACAGCAATAATACTCCCAGTAATGTGTCTGAGTGTATAACAGAGCTCCACAGCAATAATACTCCCAGTAATGTGTCTGAGTGTATAACAGAGCTCCACAGCAATAATACTCCCAGTAATGTGTCTGACTGTATAACAGCTCCACAGCAATAATACTCCCAGTAATGTGTCTGAGTGTATAACAGAGCTCCACAGCAATAATACTCCCAGTAATGTGTCTGAGTGTATAACAGAGCTCCACAGCAATAATACTCCCAGTAATGTGTCTGAGTGTATAACAGAGCTCCACAGCAATAATACTCCCAGTAATGTGTCTGAGTGTATAACAGAGCTCCACAGCAATAATACTCCCAGTAATGTGTCTGAGTGTATAACAGAGCTCCACAGCAATAATACTCCCAGTAATGTGTCTGAGTGTATAACAGAGCTCCACAGCAATAATACTCCCAGTAATGTGTCTGAGTGTATAACAGAGCTCCACAGCAATAATACTCCCAGTAATGTGTCTGAGTGTATAACAGAGCTCGCAGCAATAATACTCCCAGTAATGTGTCTGTGTATAACAGAGCTCCACAGCAATAATACTCCCAGTAATGTGTCTGAGTGTATAACAGAACTCCACAGCAATAATACTCCCAGTAATGGTTCTGACTGTATAACAGCTCCACAGCAATAATACTCCCAGTAATGGGTCTGAGTGTATAACAGAGCTCCACAGCTATAATACTCCCAGTAATGTGTCTTGGTGTATAACAGAGCTCCACAGCAATAATACTCCCAGTAATGTGTCTTGGTGTATAACAGAGCTCCACAGCAATAATACTCCCAGTAATGTGTCTGAGTGTATAACAGAGCTCCACAGCAATAATACTCCCAGTAATGTGTCTGACTGTATAACAGAGCTCCACGTCAATAATACTCCCAGTAATGTGTCTGGGTGTATACCAGAGTTCCACAGGAATAATACTCCCAGTAATGTGTCTGAGTGTATAACAGAGCTCCACAGCAATATTACTCCCAGTAATGTGTCTGAGTGTATACCAGAGCTCCACAGCATTAATAATCCCAGTAATGTGTCAGTGTATAACAGAGCTCCACGGTAATAATACTCCCAGTAATGTGTCTGAGTGTATAACAGAGCTCCACAGCAATAATACTCCCAGTAATATATCTGAGTGTATAACAGAGCTCCACAGCAATAATACTCCAGTAATGTGTCTGAGTGTATAACAGAGCTCCACAGCAATAATACTCCCAGTAATGTGTCTTTAAACTACACTAAATGTGTTTAGAAATTCCTAGATTTTACTATTAGCATGACGTAAAGTCATGATTTTATTAATGACACGGAGGCGAGTATTATGCTTCTCTTTCTTTAATTTTCCCTCAGCAGCGAAGAGAGAAATTAGTATAAAAGAGAAAATTAGCATATCATTAACATATATACATATTCAACATACGGAATCTGTTGGCGCTATATAAATGATAATAATAATAATAATAATAATAATAACAGTGCTACATAAGGGAACCTCCCCCTTTCAGTATATAAGGTGTAGCACTCTCTTCCTCTTCCTCTTTCTGTAGCGATCCGAAGACCAGTCAAAACCGAACAAGAACTCTGAACTGGAAACTGTAACCTCAGGAAGTTGTACATCTCTTCCTAGGGGAAAGGTGGAGCCGACCTTGAAGCTCCTTTCAGTCCCTTTGACGTGTGGAAACAGGCTAAAAGAGAGGAGAAATATTTATAAAATCTCGATTGATAACTGGTTGTAACATATCCCAGCATATCTATTGTCCTCTACGTCTGAGAGAAACTTCAACGTCATAGCATCCTGACATAAAACTCGATAGATAACAGGTAGAACCATAATTCAAAAAACTATTGTCGTCTACATCTGAAAAGAAATACAATGTCACAACGCCCTACAGCTAACGTCAACCTAGGCTAGGCGTATAGTACGAAAAAGTGGGGCCAGGGAGACCCGCCCTGATAGTATGAGGATAAGTTCTGACTCGATCTAGTCCTGTATGGCTGCGAAAATCACACCACTTCCAACCCAGGGAGGGAGGGAGGTAGGGAATAATACTCGCCTCCGTGTCATTAATAAAATCATGACTTTACGTCATGCTAATAGTAAAATCTAGGAATTTTATTAAAGACACGGAGGCTCCTATTATGCTATTTTAAAGCTGAGCTATAATCTTATCAGAAAAATATTGTATAGGTCTAAAGTAAAAGTTCCGGAAAGTGGATTCCGTAGACCAATCTGCAGCCTTCAAAATGTCTTCCAAGCGACATCCAGCCGCCGATGCTTTTGAGGCCATGGCGCCTCTGACGGAGTGGGATGAGAATACTGAGACATCGATCCCGGCCGTAGCTAGCAGCCATTTGATCTAGCGTGCTAGTGTCGGGGTAGATACAGGTAGATGAGGTTTCTTCAGGGAGATCAACAGGGGTCCGTCGCGTAGAGGTGCGAGACTCGTATTCCTTCAGGCATGATATTGGGCATAGGTTGGGTAAACTCGTGATTCTCGGATAGAAAACCTGTTTAGTAGCTGATTTAGTTCTCCGTGAGATATCGAATGACACTCCCTCCGGAGTGAACGTGCGGGCCCGCCAGTCCAAGGCTCTTACGTCCGATACCCGTTTACAGGATAATAGGCAGAACAGCATAAGTAGCTTTTCCAATAGTTGTTTAAAGGACAGCTCTATGTTAGAGGGCCAGTCATCTAGGAGTCTGAACACGCAGTTGACGTCCCAGAAGGATCCATATCTGGATGCAGGGGGACGTGAGAAGCGGACTCCCTTGAGCAGGCGACAGATTAGAGGGTTCTGTCCGAGTGGGAGCCCGTCCACCTGGTCATGTCCAGCTGATATAGCGGAACGGAATACATTGACCGTGCGGAAGGCCTTGCCTGATTCGAACAGGTGTGTCAGGAAGTCCAACACCGACTTCACAGGGGCTGATACCGGATCCAACGATCGTTCCAAGCACCAATTGGCCCACTGTCTCCATGCCGCTGTATATGCGTGTCGTGTTTCAGGTGCCCATGCGTTTGCCAGGAGTTGCATAGTTGTGCCCGAAACCTCTGTGATTTCCCAGGGTCCCCGGAAAGGAGCCATGCCATGGGGTCGGAGAAGACCTTGTTCTACTAGGAAGTGGCTCTCCCTGTCCGGGTTGGTCAGCAGAGATGGATGGTCTGGGAGTAACCTTGGGTGGTCTATCGCCATCTCCAATAGGTGTGGAAACCAAGGTTGGGATCTCCAGCATGGGGTTAGCAGGACCAACGCGCTCTTGAAGTGTCGGAGGTGCGCTAGACAACGAGCTATTAGATTGAAAGGCGGGAAGGCGTATGCCCTGCCCTTGGACCAATCTTGGAGGAATGCGTCGGTCGCTATGGCCTCCGGGTCATGGTCGGGTCTGGTCGCCAGCTGCAGAACCTCGGTAGTTGCATGTTTAGTCTGGACGCAAACAGGTCCATGCTCAAAGGTCCCCATAGGAGAGAGATCTTGCGGAACACGCGCGGTTGAAGTCTCCAATCTCCCGAGTCCCTCAAGTAGCGGGAGTTCCAATCCGCGGTGTAATTGTCCAGGCCTGGGATGTGTTCCGCGGTAACGGACACACTGTTCTGTAAACAGTAATTCCATAAGTCTCAGGCCAAAACTGCTAGGATGCGGGACTTGGTCCCCCCTAGATGGTTTATGTATCGCACCGCCGAGACATTGTCCAGCTTGAGTAGGATCGAGCGTGAGATGCCTTTGGGTGAGAGACTGCGAATGGCGAACGAGGCCGCCAGCAGATCCAGAGAGTTTATGTGTAAGAAGGACTCTTCGGTGGACCATCTCCCTCCTGTGGATATAGAGCCGCAGCGCGCGCCCCAGCCATGTAAGCTGGCGTCTGACTGTATCACCAGGTCCGACTCCATCACCAGTTCAGTTCCTCCCTGGATTCCATGTCCAGGGTAACGTGAGATTTGTACAAGTGACCACTTCGTAGACAGGTTGGTTTCAGGCGCTGTAACGCTCGGTAGTGGAGCGGGCCTGGGAAAATCGCTTGGATAGAGGCTGCCAACAGGCCAATGACCCGTGCCAGTTGGCGTAGGGATATGTCTGGTCGGTGCATAAGTCTCCTTTTTGATGTTGGACATCTTCTCCGCCGGGAGGCGTAGGATCTGTAGAACGGAGTCGACTCAGAATCCAAGGAATTCCATTTGTTGCGAGGGGATTAGAACCGATTTCTTCCAGTTTACAAGGAAGCCCAGGTTCTGGATAAGATGTAGGGTCCACTTTAAGTGATCTAGCAGAAGGGACCGTGTCCCGGAGAGTATGAGGGTGTCGTCCAGGTAGATGATGAGGCGGACTCCGTGTAGTCTGAGGAAGGCCACCACTGGTTTGAGTATCTTCGTGAAACACCAGGGGGCAGAGGACAGACCGAAGGGAAGGCACGTGAACCGCCACTTCTTGGTTCCCCAGAAGAACTGGAGTAGGTCTCTGTGTATTGCCGCTATCGGGACTGTCAGATATGCATCCTGCAAGTCTAGTTTGACCATCCAATCTCCGGGAAGGAGCAGGTCTCTGAGGCAATGTATGCCTTCCATTTTGAAGTGCCGGTATTGGACAAAGGCATTTAGGGGTCGTAGGTTTATAACCGGGCGGACCCCGCCTCCCTTTTTTGGCACTAAAAACAGGTTGCTCACGAAACCTGGGGTGTCTAGAGGGATCTCCTCTATGGCCTTCTTGGTCTGTAATTCTCTGATCTCCGCAGAGATGAGATCGAGGTGTGATGTTTGCATGTGGATTGCCCTTGGGGGAGTGTCCTGAATGGTGAAAGCTGTCAGCTCTAGGTGGTAACCCTCTACCGTCTGTAACACCCAACTGTCGGACGTGATCAAAGTCCAAGCCCGATAGAACAGGGCCAGTCTGCCCCCCACATATATATGAGAAGAATGGGGAAAAATGGTACTCACCAGAAGGGTGTTTTCCCGTGGGTGCTCCTCGACTGCCGCGGGTATGCCAAGGCCGTCCTCGTGAGGGGAAGAACGGGGTGAAGGACAGTTCCTGGTTCGGCCTCTGAGGGTTGAAGGAGCCTCTTCCCGGTCTGGAAAAGCCCCGGGGGTTGCGGCCGGGTAGACGGCTCCTACCTCTATCGGCCCCGCCAAAAACCTTTGGGCTGAACACCCGTTTGATGGAGGATTGGGCTTTGTCCAAAGCCGTAAAGGTCTTGACGTAGGAGCCCAGGTCCTTTACGAAGGACTCTCCGAATAGTATTCCTTTTGCAGAGGCACCGGGTTCATTGGGGGCCATGCTCGCAAGCTTGGGCTCAATCTTTAGCAGGATGGCCTTCCTGCGCTCTGTCGACATAGCCGTATTGGCATTGCCGATCATGCATACCAGGCGTTGGAGCCATCCGAATGCCACTTCGAAGTCTAAGGGTTCCCCGCTCGGTTGAGCTGTTTAAAGCAGTTCATACAGCTTGGTGACTGGGCCCAGAGTGTCGAGGAACTTGTCTTGACAGTTGCGCAGCGAGTAGTCTAGGCCCTTTTTGGGCTTCCAACCAGTCTTGGCCAGAAACTGCACAATTTGTGGGTCAACTTCAGGGTTTTTTGCCACTGCATCGGGTATGATAGGGAGGGGGCATTCCGCCCTCAGTTTGTTACGACCCTCTTGTGAGAGGGATTTGTGGACTCTGAGGGCCAGGTATTGAGCTATGTGCTCAGCGGGCTCCCATTCAGCGGAGCGAGGGTGTCTGAGATTGTCTGGATCAAATGCCAGGGTATCCTTAGCGTCACGGGTTGAGTCTGTCTCAGGAGCCCCCGACTGTGCTTTGGCCTGAGCCAGTCTGGAAGGGAATTGTGTTCCCGGGAGATCCTCGTCTCCTGAGGTCTCGTCCCCGTAGGGATCTGAGAACTGGTCATCTGACCCTTCCTCCCCATCCTCGTCTGAATCAGACAATAAATCATGGGCCCGTGCCCGTTTCCACTCTCTGGCCGCCGTAGCCTGGCCAGTAGCTCTATTGCGCGGTTGTTGCGTGCCATCATCGACAGCCTGAGGCGTGTCAATCAAACCAGGCTTTACCTGGGCATTAGTGATGTCGTGAACACAAAATTTTCAGTTCGCGAACAGCGAACGCGAACTTCCACAACTGTTCGCGAACCGGCGAACCGCCATATACTTCAATGGGCAGGCGAATTTTAAAACACACAGGGACTCTTTCTGGCCACAATAGTGATTGAAAAGTTGTTTCAAGGGGACTAACACCTGGACTGTGGCATGCCGGAGGGGGATCCATGGCAAAACTCCCATGGAAAATTACACAGTTGATGCAGAGTCTGGTTTTAATCCATAAAGGGCAGAAATCACCTAACATTCCTAAATCACAATGGATATGGATTGATACCTGACATATGACATATTGACACAGAGAAGAATAGGGACTGTTCCCCCTACATAGGGTCACTTGGCAGGTATGGATTGACACCTGTCCTCAGAGACCCTGATACACACTGACACAGAGCAGAATAGAGACTGTTCCTCCTACATAGGGTCACTTGGCAGATATGGATTGACACCTGTCCTCAGAGCCCCTGATACACACTGACACAGAGCAGAATAGAGACTGTTCCTCCTACATAGGGTCACTTGGCAGATATGGATTGACACCTGTCCTCAGAGACCATGATACACACTGACACAGAGCAGAATAGAGACTGTTCCTCCTACATAGGGTCACTTGGCAGATATGGATTGACACCTGTCCTCAGAGCCCCTGATACACACTGACACAGAGCAGAATAGAGACTGTTCCTCCTACATAGGGTCACTTGGCAGATATGGATTGACACCTGTCCTCAGAGACCATGATACACACTGACACAGAGCAGAATAGAGACTGTTCTACCAAATAGGGTCACTTGGCAGATATGGATTGACACCTGTCCTCAGAGAGCATGATACACACTGACACAGAGCAGAATAGAGACTGTTCCCCCTACATAGGGTCACTTGGCAGATATGGATTGACACCTGTCCTCAGAGCCCCTGATACACACTGACACAGAGCAGAATAGAGACTGTTCCTCCTACATAGGGTCACTTGGCAGATATGGATTGACACCTGTCCTCAGAGACCATGATACACACTGACACAGAGCAGAATAGAGACTGTTCCCCCTACATAGGGTCACTTGGCAGATATGGATTGACACCTGTCCTCAGAGACCATGATACACACTGACACAGAGCAATATAGAGACTGTTCCCCCTACATAGGGTCACTTGGCAGATATGGATTGACACCTGTCCTCAGAGCCCCTGATACACACTGACACAGAGCAGAATAGAGACTGTTCCTCCTACATAGGGTCACTTGGCAGATATGGATTGACACCTGTCCTCAGAGACCATGATACACACTGACAGAGCAGAATAGAGACTGTTCTCCTACATAGGGTCACTTGGCAGATATGGATTGACACCTGTCCTCAGAGACCATGATACACACTGACACAGAGCAGAATAGAGACTGTTCCCCCTACATAGGGTCACTTGGCAGATATGGATTGACACCTGTCCTCAGAGACCATGATACACACTGACACAGAGCAGAATAGAGACTGTTCCCCCTACATAGGGTCACTTGGCAGATATGGATTGACACCTGTCCTCAGAGACCATGATACACACTGACACAGAGCAGAATAGAGACTGTTCCCCCTACATAGGGTCACTTGGCAGATATGGATTGACACCTGTCCTCAGAGCCCATGATACACACTGACACAGAGCAGAATAGAGACTGTTCCCCTACATAGGGTCACTTGGCAGATATGGATTGACACCTGTCCTCAGAGACCATGATACACACTGACACAGAGCAGAATAGAGACTGTTCCCCCTACATAGGGTCACTTGGCAGATATGGATTGACACCTATCCTAAGGATCCCTGATACACACTGACACAGAGCAGAATAGGGAATATTCACTAAATGCCAAACATTGTTATACAGGGGAATATTCAGTAAATAAGGATAAGGGGGGACCTACTGTCCTCCCCCCTGACCCCCACCCCTGCACGGTGGGTTGGGGCCATAAATCTCAATGGGGGGGGGACCTACTGTCCTCCCGCCTGCCCCCACCCGTGAGTGGTGGGTGGGGGCCATAATAATAATGAGGGGGGGGGGACCTACTGTATGATGTTGTATTGATCAGGTAGTGTAAGGGTTACGCCCGCTTCACAGTGACAGACCAAACTCCCAGTTTAACGCACCGCAAACAACCGCAAACAGTCCATATGCACAACCGCAAACTCCCCATTTGCAGGTTGGATACCAAGCTAGCCATGTCCCGTTCCTTGTCCTCACTGATGTCATTGAAGGTCTCTTCCTCCACCCAGCCACGTACAACACCAAGGGTCCCCGAAAGGTGACAACAAGCCCCCTGGGACGCCTGCTGTGTTTGGTCTTCCACCTCCTCAAAGCCACCTTCCTCCTCTGACTCCTCTTCTTCAGACTCCTCTCTCTGCGTTGCCTCTCTCTGCGTTATTATAAGGTGTGTTAAGTAGTATTATTCCTATCAGTTTAATCCCTGTTACGTCCCCTATCAGGGGACGTGTATATGGCATCGATTTTAGGAACCGGGAGATGGAAAAAGATGCTTGGTCGGTCCTCCTACTTCAAATTTGGGGCACTGTGCGTGCAATCTAATGTGCCACCAGATAGGAGTGGTGTGTTAAGTAGTACTATTCTTATCAGTTTAATCCCTGTTACGTCCCCTATCTGTTGATGTGGAGCAAGACGCAGCAGCAGAAGAGGACTCAGCCGAGGAGGTTATGGAAGAGGATGGAGTAGGAGGAGTAGAGGAGGTGGCAGCAGGCCTGCCTGCAAGTCGTGGCGGTGTCACCAACTCCTCTGCAGAGCCACGCATTCCATGCTTGGCAGCCGTCAGCAGCTTTACCCAATGCTCAGTGTAGGGGTGGCCTGCCTCTGCCTGTCATTTTTTTTTCGATTAGTGGTACTATGCGTGCAAGCTACTGTGACACCAGATATGAGTGGCACTGTGAACTGGCAGAGGTTGGCAGCGTACACGCTGTAAGGCTGACACACCCACTTGAAGACAACTAACTGGTATTCAATCTTTAACAGTGAAAAAAGTTTTTTGTTTTTAAATGCAAGCTATTGTGACACCAGATAAGAGTGGCACTTTGAACTGGCAAAGGTTGGCAGAGTACACGTTGTAGGCCTGACACACCCGCTTGAAGACAACTAACTGCTATTCAATCTATAACAGTGAAAAAAGTTTTGGGTTTTTAAATGCACGCTATTGTGACACCAGTGAGTGAGTGGTGGCACTGGGCAAGTGGGCACAGTATACATTGCGAGCCTGACACACAGACGCTTGGAGACAACTAACTGCTATTCAATCTATAACAGTGAAAAAAGTTTTTGGTTTTTAAATGCACACTATTGTGACACCAGTGAGTGAGTGGTGGCACTGGGCACAGTATCCGCTGCGAGCCTGACACAGAAGCTGGCAGACAACTAACTGCTGTTCAATCTATTATAGTGAAAAAAAATATGTATTTTTTTAAATGCAAGCTATTGTGACACCAGTGAGTGAATGGTGGCACTGG